TACCAAACCTGCCCAGAAGAATACAGATCACACAGTATTTGCATAGTACGTGCAGAGATCAGAGGAAGCACACAGAGCACAGAGAATGAGTGATTCCCACTTCCAGACAACTGGCAGTGCACTTCAATTTGCTGTCCCTCCTCCATATGCTACAGATAAATAAGCAGCTCAGGAAGAAACACTTACACAGGGGCTAAAGATGCTCTTAACATTGTAGAAGCCTGGATCAGAAAAAGAAAGAAAAGAGAAATCACAACAGATTAGTCCACATTTCACACCAACAGTGTTACTAATGAGGTTCAGAGTGAACCCTCTCACTGAGGTTCTGCAGTTCTTCTACTACAAAAACTATGTTGCAAAGTAGAAACTTCAAATGTTTTCCTTTCTTTTCCCTCAGAGAGGTTCACAGGTAAAAACCTCTTTTGTTATGATCTGGCCATATCATCTTCACAAACACACTCCAAAAAGTTACCTATGCTTGAAGCATCAAAAAAAGGGAGGGGGGAACAAAACAGAGGAGAAACTAGCCTGCAGCCACTGACTGGTCTACCTTCCGAAGCCTACTGAAAAAGATGAAGAGCTTTGTTAAGCACATTTATTGATTTCAAAAGTTTTAATAGTTTAAAGCTGCAGTGCTTTTCTACTGGAGACCTACGACACATTATAGCATCAAAATTCACCATAACTTTCTGTTTCGATACTAATTTTATTGGAGCGCCTGTTGCTATTAATATATGCATATACAAATATAAAACTATCAATATATAATTATAAGGCTATCTATTCTAGTACAGACAAAAATGATAAGGAACAGCATACCGTTTCTCAGTGGTTCTGCCTAGGATGAGTTCAATTTAAACACGGGCATTTCCTCTCTGCTGCAGTGTGACAAAGAACGTAGGCAGGAACCACGGCTGCACAACTCGGAACTTACAAGTATTCAATACCACATAAAAGTTATTCACTTTAATAAATATTTTTTCTAAAGCTAATTGTCGGTGAGCCAGGAAGAAGCAATTCTGGCATAAACGTGTTTCATATCATGCATTCTCATGCCAACTACAAGCCATATTCACATAACATTCAGTGTCTTCTTTTTGTATTGATCTCTACTCATTTTCTAAAAAAAGAAATCTCTCATTACCACTTATTCCTTTAAAACTGGCCTTCTCCTCTAACCTAGCCTCTTTCAAGGGGAGCTCTATAATCAATGTCTATTGTCAGATTTAAAATTGAAGGATTTAGAAGACAAAAGGCATGAAATATCATAGAGAATATTGAATCACACCAGCTGACATATTCTTGAACACACTAGGTTTCACAAAGCTCATGGGTATCCTTTGTCATACAAGGAACTGCTCTCTTAGAGGTGAAATGAGCTTATACATACATTGGAAGGCATTTAATATTATGTTCAACCCAATGAATGACTTGTACACAATAGACAATTTAACAGCTCTCACATTTCAAAACTAACCTGCCTTGACAGCAGTTCTCTCACATTATAGCTTGTTTTACACAGCAGAAAAGTCTTGCAGAATATCATATATAGCTACACTGTTTCCCCCCTCACTTATTTATATTCATTTTCTAAAGCACTTTATCAAAATTAACTTGTTTAAGCAAAACTCTTTTCTTGATCAAAAACTGTTATCTTGTACCTGAGTGCACAATGAAATCACAAATCATTTTTGTTGCCTTCCTTGGCTTCGTCCTCCCTTAAAGGAAACAGCGAGGAAAGCGACTTTCTAGTATGTTAAAGCAAGAGGAACGAGAGGGCCCTTGAAGATGAAAAGACAAGGATGAAAAGATGATCAGACAAAGAACAGTAATGAGAACAGAAATAGAGCAGGGCCCTAAGACTGAACAGATACATGCAAAAGCCCTATGCTTCCCCAGAAAGTCCTTTTTACCCGATACTACTTTGCTGCCTTAAAAAGAAAAACATATGTTCCAACCACAATCAAACTAAAGGACACAGAATTGGTGATGATGCACGCATCGCACAAATAAAACTCTTTTGAGTAAGCGTAAGATTTTGCAAGCTTTTATAAATTTCAAACTAAAGAAACTTCAACCAGAAAAAACATTAGATCTTCAAAATCAATCAGATCAAGCAGGACTCTGAAAGTCCTATTAATTCCCAAATTACTTTTTAAGCAGGCAGATGAAGTGCAGCAAAATATTTAGTAAGCTTTGGCTCTACCGTCTACCTCACATCCAAAAGGTACCACATAATGAGGCAGACCCTGTAGCTGAGCTCTGAGGGCAGGACAACCTAGATGGAGAGACTTCCTGTCCAGCACTCACTTCTCTGATCAGACCCACGTTGATCAGCCTCCAGAACGTGGACAGGATGAAGGTAGTTTCCTGAGGCTTTTGGTGTTACTGGAAAACAGTTATTTCTGCCACATAAGCTCATAGCAGCTGATACATAACTGTAACAACTTTTCTGCAAGTATTCCCCTGTTTTGGAAATTGTTTAGGCCTATATTTTAAATAATTTTACAAGAAGAAGAAGTGCAGTAAGACACTGCTAGAGAATTATACTCCACTGTTTTTCTTTCCTTTTTTTTTCTTTCTTTTTTTTTTTTTTTTTTTTTCAAATGTAACCCAGTAGCTCTCCTGTGGTTTACAGGCCTATAATTTCAGAGGCCATGCTACTTCTGGACAGACAATTGAGACACCCTCCGAAAAGGACAGCATCACGTGCTCTCCACCTATTGCTAAACAGGTCTGAAGAGATTTTCAGCTATTTTAATTCTGGAAAAAGTGATCCAGAAACAGTACCAACAAGCGCTGCTCATTCAATTTAACGTCTCAGCTACCTCTAGCCATAGATTCTCAACTTTTCATCTTCTTCTCTTAGCTTTTGAAGGGGAAAGATACACCTGTGCTATCTTCTCCCCCTCCTCAGTCCCTGCTCCTGAGAATCCCCTCAGCATGCCAGACCCTCAAAGCTCTGCTGCCTTGCGATGCTTTCTCCTCATCCCCTGCACCTCTCCTCACCCTGTGGCCTCTTCAGCTCCTGCTCCAAACCTCCTGCCACTGTCGCCGTCTTGCCGGCACCACTCTGCACCCATTCCTTGACTCCTTCTGTTGCCTCCTTGCAGCAGCACCAGCTTCCAGGGGTGCCTGTCCCAGCACAGAGCTTAAGCTAACAGCCTGACAGATCATAATGGTTTGTACCAAGCCCTGTGCCTTATTTTTAAGGCTGGCAGACTTCCCCAGCTGGGCAGCAGCAGTCTAGGCAATAAGAAACACTGGGTGATGGGCGTAGGCGGAAATTAAGCCAAGAGAATATGACCCACGCTCTGCTGAGAACTTCATAGCTTCCTTCAGATAAACTTTTCAAATTAGAAGAAATACAGAGCCTAACGTTTCATTTTGACTTAATTTAATACTCCTTATCTTTTAAGCAGGGTGTTCTTCTCCACCTCACAAAGCACCTTGCCCCACATGAACCTGGGAAGGCAAAGGCACATCACAGGTTTCCTACAATTCAGCCTGCCAAAGCAAATAGCCCTGCTACCTCAGAGCCTCCTTTCACCTTTCACTATGCAGTTTTTGTTGCTTATTGGTTTCTGTTTCTCCTCTTTGGTATGGATCTGAGGTGTCCCAATATCAGGAGATTTGCCTAGTTAAGTATCTTTACATAAACTAACCAAAAAAGCTGTGTTAAGTTCTAGCTCTTGGCCTATACATTACTTGAAACAAATGGAGAACAAGGCACCAGTAAAGCAGCCCTTGGGTTTGCTTAATGGAGGTAAACGTGCTCCTGAGTTGAGCCATATAATCCGGCCAGTAGAAAGAAGTCATTTTCTCCACCATTATCTCTGTATACAGTAGCCCCAAGGCCAAGGTTCCACAGGCATTACTTCTGGCAGTAGTGCCAGCTTAAGCAGCCTTTAGCCCTCTCAGCATATCACTACCATGGAAAGCGAAACAAGAGACTTCTGGAAGTAAAAAGTCACCTCATTAAAAAATTCATAACAAAACTCTCTTTTTGTCCAAGCTCTCCACAAGCTTTAGCCATGTGACTTTAAAAATGGATTTTCATGTTGCAAATACACTTAAAAACGTGAAGCCTTTTAAAAGGATTTTTAGAAGCAAAGGGATATATTTAACTGAAGAAAAGGTTAATATCCTACTCTAGTATCCTAAAGATTGCAGTTTGGGCTACTCTCTTTAATGAAGTCTACAGACTGGGTGGGCAGAAAAAAGCCCACGTTGGCCTTTTGTTTTTTGATCCTCACAGTTCTTTTATTCTCTTTCCCGATGTTCATTCTTAAGCCTAAATGCTGAACCTGGACAGCTAATCGTTTCTGTGGCAATAATGCAGAAATTCCAACTGTACTGTGTTTTTGAGAGAGAAATTATTTGGATGCAGGAGACAAATAACCACTGCTTTATAATGGCACAAGAAAAAGGAAAACCATCAAGGTAAGTATTTTATATAGAGCATTTTGCATTCATAGGCCTCAAAGCACTCTACAGTAAATAAGCTCTTAATATTCCCGTGAGGTAAAAATAAACATTATAATTTTCATTTTCGGGTGATGAAACCAAGACCATAGACAGAAAGTCAGGCAGAGTCAATGGCGCTGTTGAAAGATAACTTCTTCCTTCCACATGCTACATGATAATCTCTAGACATTGCCTCGATCAGCCAATGTAACCAAATATACAGAGCTCCTCCTTAGCAACAGTTTACCAAGATTTGCTGTCAGGAGACATCTTAAATCAGGCGTTCTCTCCCAGGCCCTTTTCCCAGTCTTACCTTTCCTGGAACAGGTTAGACACTAATTCAACCTTTTGAATAGCAGTATTTTGTAAACTCCCAGTCAACGACTGTGAAAAATATACTGCATATGTGACCTATCTGTTATACATGACTCCCCACATTCGTGGGCTTAATCTTGAACAAAATAATTTTCATGCAAAACCCATCTTGAGACAAAACAATTGCCTGTAATTAAAACACAAGCAGAAACTAGGTGTCCTAAGGAAATAAAAACAGCAGCCCAAGCACAGCTCATTCTGGCAGGATCACAGCGTATGACTTACGTTCGTGTTAGCTCTTGCCAAAGCCAAACCAGGTGCCATATTAAGTAAAGTAATTCTGTCACAGCGCAGATTAGCTACAGATGGCAGCCCTTTGTTTTTGAAAGAAGCGAGGCATGAATATGAACAGCATGGAGTAAATCAAAAACTTTCACGGGGGGAAAAAAAAAATCAGTATTTGTAAAGGAAAACAAATACATTTCATGTGCAAGCCAAAACCACAACTGATTTTATCAAATACTGTAGCCCTGTATTCATTATCTGACGTGTGTATTCATAATATGCTGAAGCCTAAAGCTGACAGCCAGATTCTGACCTCACTTACCACTCTGAAAAGGTGCTGTAAAAATTTAGTTTAAAATCAATGCAGATTCATAATTAAAAAAAAAATATATCAAAGATAGCCAATGAATATGTGAAGAGTAAAACCAAAGTTTAGGCTAATTTGTACAAATCAGTAGAACTCGCAAAATTACGTCGAGCTCATTTATTATACACTAATGACAACCGAACTGCTCCATGCAGCCTGTGATGGGTTAGATTCTGAGCTTGTGTAATCTGGCACATCTCTACTGGGGCTATGCAAATTTATTTCACATGAAGATCTGCAAACGTTTTTAATTCGTGTGCCCCCCCCCCTTTTTTTTTTAACCTATACTAGCGATACGCTGTTATGAAAACTTCCTACTTGGCGTATAAAATAGCTTCTCTGCGACATGTGAAGTGTACAGTCAAAAGTCATACTGTAATACTATGTGATAATGTAATGATATCTGATGTCAGAAAAAATATAACATACTGCCTAAAAATACCTATGTGATAATGTAAAGATACAAGATGACAGAAAAAAATAAAATATTGCCAACGTTGCCTATAAACAATGTGGGGACAGGAAGGAAAACAAACTTTGCATTCAACAAATACCTCAGAATTAGAGTCAGATAGCTCTAAAAAAAAGAATTTTTAAACAATTTTGTTAGTTATTACATTCTGCATTAAATAAATTTATATTTATCTAAAGCCACCTGCATAAAGGCAAAACTTTTCTTTTGCACAGTTAACGCCATTACTAATTTCTCACCTGTAATCAGTCTTTCTCAATCTTAAAACAGACTGTTGTGAAAGGGAACAGAACGTTAAACACCAAGCAAACGGTGTCCTGTATGATCACTCACAGCATCAACGGGAACAGGTTGCTTGATGCAGATGATCTGCTACCATGGGTGAAGGTGGCTAGTACTCACTGGGTGAAGACGAACAGAAGCAGTAAGGAACAGCCCACTGCATTCCCTAATTCTGTGAGTCTTATTTCTCAAAACAAAAGCTTGTTTTGAGCGAGAAGCTGAGTGCACACAAGGGTTACTATAGTTTCAGGTGAGGAATGCATTTGAAGAAAAGTACAATTTCTCTTTAAGCACGAAATCTTGTTTTACCCAACGAAAGGGGAAAATAGATAAACATGGATGATTTTTAAGTAGAATACTGACTAACTTTATTTATTTATTTATTTTTAGAAGAGGTGTCAATCACTTCTATGATTTGAATACATCCTGGGTTACTCAACAGTAGACTCATTTCCTTTCTTCACAAAGAATGTACTGGCTATGGACAAAATTAGATGCTTATGGTGTTCTTGTAATATTGCCAGAATACAAAGTTCCATCTGGATTACAGAAGGCACAGGCAGTACGTAGAATATAGTTTTGCCTTCCCAGTTTTCCATGAAGAGGATCCATTTTAATTGTATGAAACAACTTGATAACCTCAATCACAGAGAGAAAGTTTCACTTTACAGGTTAAAATTAAGAATACAAATACTTAAAACAATAAGACACGCCACCGAGAAGAGCCCAACTCAGTTTGTTGTGTTATCTTATATAACAATACCTATCTGCTTACTCAGAGGTGTAGTGGGATCAGTTAAGTGCTGGCACACTTCAAAGACATCATATGCTATACACACTGATGTTCACATGGAGGAAACAATTGCTTTCTGCACGTTATAAAGAAGCTATATTTCATGTAAAAGTTGTGGCAAAGCTCTCTGTGGTTGACATGCTTTGTTACGTGTACTATGAAGCCGTAAGTTTACTCAGAAGTTTATATTCTGTTTCCATGCAGAAATTCCAAACCTTGTACATTTTCGGCTCCTTATAAACCATACAGTTAAAGTCATGACAAGTTAAAATACAAGGAAAATTGTTAGACATCATGAAAGGAAGAGAAATATGGACTGTGACAGGCTGCAGCAGGCAATGTGAAAGGATATAAAGATATAGACACTTACATATTCGTCATCACAAGGGCTCATAGAGTAATATCCCTTTATGGGCAAACAGGCACACATTAAAATAAAGAAGATTAAAAAAAACAAGTTAACAGAAATAAATCACAGAGAAATGCACAGTTCTAAAAAAACAACACAGTAAAATTAGCTAAAGATTAACAAACTACTAGCTTTGAAAAGAAAAGTGTTAAGCATCTTCTCCTCCCATTCCATGTACTTATGTCTTAGGACTGAAATCAGCATGTATCTCTAGGGACTCATTTACATGACAAGCTCTCCTTCCAATACCTGGTCTGCACGTTTTCCAGTATAACTGTCAGTTAGAACAGCTGCATTCCAAGCACTGACAAATTTACGGAGATTGACCAATTGTGTTGTCGACTACACTGAGGCAGCTAAAACGAGAGGTACGAATGAACATGATGCCGATCAGAAGACCTCAGGTTCTGAGAAACTAGCTGTAAGCATTCTCCATACTTGCTTTGGTTGGAGTTTCTCAACAGCACATAACAAAAGCTGAGAAAAACAATTTGAGGTGTTTCAACAATGTTATCAATTCCTCGTTCCAGAAGGCTCCAAAGCTAAACTGAGGCAAGGTCTCTGGACGGAAGCCTAAGATTTAGTTACCCATAAAGTGGACCTAACATAAAAACTGGTGATAATCTCTGCTTTGAGCCGTGTAGTACAAATATGCTGTGTACTCTATACTTAGACTAAAATATTTAACTGATTTAACTTAGAACAGGTTGATAGCAGTCTTAGTTCAAAATAAAAGTATACAGTACAACACAATGAAATATGACCAACATTAACTATTTGGCTTCTAGGTTTTTTTGTGGCAAAGCTGCCAATACTTACTTTAGAGAACATACTTCTGCAGATGAATAAGCACATAAACAAACACTATATTTAGCAGGATCATTTTGAAGAGACATACAAAGCTTTATGTTTATGTTTACCCACAGAAGGTACGAGAAACTTGCTACTCTTCATTGTGAGTAGGAAATAACGTTCACTGTATTCTTTAGCAAAATTTAAAATCCTGATATTATTCTTTGCATTACTGTCACAGCCAGGATTCTCTGCTGTGGATGAGTATTCAGCTCTCCCAGCGCTATACACACACACACACACACACACACACACACACAGACAGTCCCTGGCTAAGACAGCTTAAAATTAAATCTAAGACAAAATATAACATGGATAGAGACCAGTAAGTGAGCAAAAGAAACCAGGGGACAACCTTCAGCACAATGGGAGGAAGTCTTAACACACTCAGGACCTGAACCAGTGAAAATGTCTGTAGGCATCAAGATAAAGATGACATTAAAGGAAGAATTTGAGGGCAGAACAGGGTAACTTTGTGGAAACCTCTACAGATGACATCACCTTACCTTTACAGGTGAGGATTTTATGCAAACACAGAAGATGCCTAATTCACTGCAGGTGGTAGTTACACGCAGAAAAGGCATCATATGCTGAGTCAGCAGAAAAAAACCCTCTCTATGTTTACATGAGAAGCAGGTTTGTTTCTTCTTTATCATACACAATAGGTCACAGATAAGAATCATCTCATAGGCAGGCAGGGAGAAGATATATACTTCATTCCAAGAAAGGCTTGGTTAAAGTAGATGCTGTTTGCTGTAACGTGCATTTTGTTTTGAAATGAAAGAGGGTGCTTCCACAAAATGCTTGGTGAATCCACTCTGAACGGCTAATGATAACAATAAAAAAAACCTTCCGTTATCGTGTCTCCTAGGTTTCATGTGGACATCTGGTGCAGAAAAAATTCTAACAAATAGGAAACAGCATGCTCGCCACCAACTATTACAGCTTGATGACATGCTCCCATTTGAAATAAAAAGCATGTTTGAGAAAAAACTGCAGTCAAAGACCACAAGAAAAAAAGGAGGTGGTGCTAGTGTTCACAGCTATCCCAGCAAATTCAAAAAATCACATTTGAAAATCTTGTTTACAAACAGTTTGCAAGTGTCAGCCTAATTTTATAGAAGAGCTGGGGTCCAATGAAAGAATTAAAAAAATTTTTTTTCTTCAAAGCCTCAAAAGAGCTGTGCCAAAAGAGACCTACCTAAAACTTGCTAAGAAGATAAATACATCTAAGTGGAATTACATGATCAGACTGCAAGAAAACAACAAATAGCAGCGAAAACACAACAGGCGTTATTCCATGACACAGGGAAAATGTATGCAATCAGCTATACAGCTTTCTAGTCACAGAAAGATTCCCCAGTGGTTAAGACACAGCTCGATTACTGATGGAACCTGCACATCTAAAGAAGGACGTCCTGTCACGTACTTCTGCCTTTAATCAGAAGTTTAAGGAATCTCAGGATTTCTTCTCCCATTGTAAACATCCCTTCCACTAGGGGATGCATAGATTTTTGTGATCATGTGTTTCACGATTACTGTATTTTAAAACGGGTATTTCAAAAAAATCACAATAACTGAGGAACACTTGAAACTGTCACAAAATCGCCATATAGTATAGGACAAAAAGTAATAGATTAAACGGATTTCTTTTGTTTAGAGCGACTGTAACAGAGTGTTTTGTCAGATAATTTAAGATAATGTAGAAGCTGATTTTCCTTCTTGGGTCTTACTCTGACAAAGAAGAAAGACTTTCATCTTACCTTAACTAACGCCTGGTAAAAATCCTAAGACAACAGTTACAGCTTTAGTGTATGTTACCTGGCCAGAGTAGTTCTCTCCCCGTTCCTCTGAGCGTCTTCTGACTGAATTTTCCTGATTTCATATTAATGGGAGGGAGAATATTTTTATTCTCAAATTGTACTTGAGCCAGACAGAAAATAATCTTTGGCCTACAATCAGTGTTAGCAGACTAAATTCTCATAAGAGCTGATCATGAAAAGACTCGATCATAAGAGACACTGCACCCTTTTGAAAATACTCCTGTTGAAAGACCTTCCCATTCTCAGAGGTTTTCAAAACTCAGCTAGACAAAGCCATGGCTGATCTGATTTAGAAAGCCCTGCTCTCTAACTAACCCTGTCTCTGACTGATGCCTTGCATGCCAAGTATCAACACAAGAACAATTTTTTACATCTGAATTATGACATATTAGTGCAAGTGTTTACCATTAGAGACTAACAGTCTCAAGGACAGGAGACTATCTTCTGCAAGGCACAGAACTGAACCAGCACAGCCAATTTGCTCAACTAAAAGCCATAAACTCAGTCTTGTGTTGCTTTGAGCACTAATCCAAGAAATTCCAGGAAGGTGTGCAGTCCAACTTGAATCAGAAAATCTGTTCGCAGGTGCAAGACTGAGCCCATGCTTAAGAGCTACATCGGATGAGGCGTGATGGCACAACTCTTCGGAAGACCAAATCCCAGCTGGTAAAGAGCCAGAATCCTCTTGGCTTCATGATGTGTGTTAGACAGACAGTTGCAGGCAACTCAAGACTACAACCCGTGCTTCCTACCCACCAAACAGATCATCATTAGAAAAAAAAAGTAAGGCCTCACATAAGTTATCTCAAGAGTATTAAAGCTATGAGGGACCATATTAGAGAGCTATATTTAAAAATATTCTTTTAAAACTTACCCATCATTACCCATATCACTTTCCTGTCCAAATGAACATTAGGAAGCCAAGAATCTGACTAAACCTTCAAATTAACGTTTCCTTCAACTTGTCAGAATTGGTGCTTTGACCTCCTACTCTTACATCCAGACCCTTTGCTGTGATAATTTCTCAGGTTTAGCTCCCAGTTCAGACCACAGATGTCAAATGACATGATCAAAGATGGGGATAACATTCCATCACAACCGGGAAAAAAGCCTTCTGGTAAGATAGGGCCTTAGAAAAGCCCAAGGAATATCTCCCAGTTGTAACACAGTACTGTGGCCTCTCCCCTATTCCATGCACCAGACGCATCCTGTTAATAGCTTGTGGATCAGGCTCACAAGCCAATCCAGGAGGTCACAGGGCAGGCGAGAGGCATAAAGTTGTTCTGCAAAAGAATGAGATCCAAGCCAGATTACAGGCGAACACAAGGCAACAGTCAATACTACAAGCCCTGTGTTTTTTAAGTAAGGTTTCACAGGTACAATCACACTGGGAAAGTGCGAGTGCCATCTCAGAGATGGCATTGCTGCAGTCTTAAAGCTAGTTCGGTAAGAAGGTCTAGTTCTGGGGTTTGCCCTCCTGACACAAATTTCTTCCAATATGAAAGGACAGGCCTTCAACCACAGAGAACAAAGCAGGAAGCAGATGTTTGTACAACAACAGCACACCTTAATAAGCGATACCTGCTACCTTTATTCTAATGTAAAAGCCTGATACCCTCAAGGCTTTATATTACACAATACTATTTTCTTCCTGACATTTAAAAAAAAAAAAAAAGAGAGAGAGAGAGAGAACAAAGTACAATGCACTGAATGCACTGGGAACAAAATCAACTTTGCAGACAAATAATGCTACGAAGGATATAATCCAAGGTAGGGTCTTTAATTTCCTTGGGCAATACTTAATTTTGGTTATAGCACTAGTACAGTCCTCCTTCCCAGTATATTCTTAAACTGCTAGTGTGCTGTAACTGATTTGACAAAACATACTGTAGAGCCCTGATATGGATCTCGAAGCATGATGATGCTATTTGTTAGCAAAGGAAAGTCAGCTGTGCACTGAGTTGCAGATCTGTAACGTTGCGATAACTACAAAATGCTTGTTCGCATTAGAAAGGCACGATAGTTTCTTTTCCTTCTAAAGACAGTTCCTAAGTATACCTACGCATGATACCTCAAGGACAAAAATAAAAATAAAGTAAAATAAAAAAATCGAGGCATCATCTCCTAACTGCCCTTGGAATCTTCAGTACACAGTCAAGGGCTTGAGTACATACACATTACTTCCAGCAGCACTGACAGCTTTAGCAATTTCTTCTCCCACAACCTGCTCCCAAACTTGGATCCTTCCCTGAGTTATGCCAGTGCAGCTGACTGCAAACTTAAGCATCCCCTCCTTCCAATTACAAGCAACACAGATTTACAGCTGCATGCAAGTTCAGCAAGAAAGGAATTTCCTAGCTATTCATCTCCTTTTCTGTTCATCTATTAAGAGAACTGATCAGTCAAAACTAGTTTATTTAGAGGTCTGGCTGGTCCTGACACCAGTGTTGTCGATAGGACACGATCAAATCCTGAACGTTCAAAACACAGGTGAGCTACAAAGGCTTAACCAATTTTGCTGATAAAGTGAAAGTAAAGCCAAACCATATTTAATGCTTGCAGAATCCCTTTTTTAAACTCTCACTTATGTTGCTTATACAGTGACCTAATGGTGAGGATGAGCAAAGGAGTGGCCCCTCTGCTTGTCTCTTCCCTCCACGATTATACACACGACTGTCCCTTGCAGCAGAAGGAGTTCGGTCAAACGGAACGTGGAAAGACCACACTCTAGTATCTCTAATCAACGTAAATAGTCAAGGGACCTTCCGACACAAACCCAGCACAGACACTGCAAACGCATGCTGCTACGTAGCCTGGGTCACAATGCCTCCAGCTTTATTCCAAAACTTATGTGAAAACCTGAAACCACTTAAGGACAGAACAATAACATCTAAGTGTATAACAATGAAGAATCGTTATATGAATTGTAGTATGTATAATTCTTATACTTGTTCTCTCCTATGAAGAAAGACTGCAAGAGCTGGGCCTGTTCAGCCTGGAGAAGAGAAGACTGAGAGGCGATCTCATCAACGTGTACAAGTATCTGAAGGGGGAGTGTCGAGAGGTTGAGGCCAGCCTCTTCTCCATGGTGCCCGGTGACAGGACAAGAGGCAACGGGCACAAACTGAACCACAGGAAGTTCCACCTAGACCTGAGAAAAAAATTCTCCACTGTGAGGGCGACAGAGCATTGGAGCAGGTTGCCCAGAGAGGTAGTGGAGTCTCCTTCGCGGGAGATATTCAAAACCCGTCTGGATGTGATCCTAGGAAACATGCTCTAGAGGACCCTGCTGGAGCAGGAGGGTTGGACTAGATGATCTCCAGAGGTCCCTTCCAACCTAAACGATTCTGTGATTCTGTGAATGAGGTATTTGGAAATTCTTCAAGGAAGAGTAAGGGGGTGCTTTAGCAACCTGGTGGCAAGCTGCGTGAATTTAGTTTTTAATCAGTCTCATCTGGCTTCCCGAATCAACAGAGCCAGGGAGTGAGAAGTCTCTCGGGATGATGATGGTGGTGGTGGTGGTGGAGTCTCATTTTTCTTCTTAGAAGATGGGCTATAGATTTTTTTCTTGTTATATTTATGTTCCTACATGTTTGCTGTTCATGTACCTAAAATAATCACGAGAAGCACAACTCTAAATGGGAAACAATCAAGAAAATATTATCAATCAGCAGATCAAAAGGATCAGATCAGGAAAGCTTTCTATGATGTAGTTAAGGTCTACAGTGAAGGCTGTGATTAGCCCTGTCCCCAAAACTTGGCTGATGCCTCAGACAGTCTAAGCGTGTGGGTCTGCTTATACAAACACTAGATTGCAACCACAGTAACTACTTTAACCTCATTGTCTAGAAACAAGGAGTGACTTAAACCAGTCCAGGCACCCTGGAAATAAATAGACTGACTGCTGTAGTTGTCCTGGTCTTTCACTAGAAGAACTGTTAGCACAGCTACTGCATCAAAGAACGTGGATAGGAAGAGCCATAAACTCACACAGACACAATTATGTCAGTAAAGCCTAGTATAAAAATACATACGACTGTGCCAGAACAACATAGCTTTACTCAGTTTAACCTAGCTAATTTGGGCCAGAAGGGAGGCACAAATTCACTTCCAGGAGGGCAAGAAAACCACCACCAACAAATCCTCATTCTCTGACTGATCTACATACCGGGGGCCTTTGCTAAAGTGGCCATACTGGTATAACTAGCGTGGCAAAAGGCCCTTTCAGAGCAGACAAGCTTTTAGACACAGTTTTAGAGGAGCAGGAGTAAATAGACTCGACACACAGGATCAACAATCATTTCACAACAAAGCATCTTTTAGTAGCAGGGAACAGAGAAGGGTTTGGCAGGAAGAGATTCTGAGTGGTCACATAACCTGTCTTTTGGAGGACCTGCTAAGCATCAGGTCTATCCAGTTCTTAAAAAACCTTCAGTAATGGAGATTCTTGCTGAAATACTGTGTTTATACACTGCTCCTTACTCAACTCTTCAGTGATCACCCATGGGTCTTAAACCTCTTCAAGCCCTTTTTCATGGAGGATCAAACAAGTGCCCGTACTTAAAATCTGAACTGCACAAGAACACCTAGCTAGGAAAAAAAACAGCATACGCGATTGGGGCACAGAAAGACATCTGCTAACTAGCAATAATCGACCCAACTTTTATCAGTGAAGAAACCTTCAGCCACTTTTGCACTCTGCATAGCGGATAAAGAGACAACTCAGCATCTTCCATAAGGATGACATTCCTTCTCTCCTCTACCTGTCTCCCAAAAGGGTTTAAATGATCAGAAGGTCAACATATCTCTGATAGAAAGAAAAGTAATAATAACAGTGAAAAACTGAGCAAACAGTGCAACTTGAAAGCGTGGAGAAAAAAGAGGAGCCTTGATGCAAGCAAAGAGCAGGAATAGACAGAACAGGCTATGCTGCTGTTACAGAACGGACGAACTTAGCAATAGGACAGGGAGCTGTGAGACATGCAGAACTCCAATATCAGAGGGCAAAACGCAGACAACAACTAGGCTACACAAAGCGTTATGTTGGAAAGCCATTGGGAGGGACAGAGGGAAGACCTCAGAAAATTGTGGGTTAGACGATGGCGGCGGGGGCCATACTTCAGGATGGAAGAAGGCATAAGCGTTCACAGTGGCCATGACGTAAATGCAAGGACAGAGGAGTGATAAACAGTCCCTGATCCAGAGGTACCTGGCACACAGAAGTCCTGGCTTCCTTCCTGACCCCCGACATGCAGACTGCAAAACCTGCTAAGACTGCCACCTCCCAAATATATTGCAGGTCAGAGAAAGGAGTTCTGACCCTGAAGATAACAGTGAAGCAAGGGCATTTCAAATGACCTGGAGAACAACGACGAATATTTATCTCTGAAAATATTAACATACAGAAAAAGTAAAGGGAACATTGTAACAATCTCCTCATCTTTCTGTAACAGATTTTCAAGGGGAACAAAATGTACCCGTAGTGCCACCGTTATTAAAAAACTTCAGCTAGAATAAGGAGCAAGAATCATTCTTTTTTCTGCTTTTCCTTTGACAATTCACAAACAATCTTACTGTACAGTAAGTATAGATGGATCTCTCATGGAAAAAATAATAATTGCAAATCATGACTCTGGCTCGTCTTTCTAAAGTAATGGCAGATGATTTTTTAGTATTAAAGTGTTTGAACACAATTTTCGTGTTAATACTTATTTGAAAACCATTAAGCAAGGAAAAAAATTCAACAAACTAAGTATTAAAAAAGGTTGTGCCACTGAATGACACTTACACTACACCATATAATAATTTAAAATTTTATGTACCCCCAGGTACAGCTTCACAGTCACGAGAGACGACCTTAAGCTGGTTCTGCTGCTGAAAAAAAGAAGCCCCATCTCCATGTTGGCAGAGGAGATGGAGCAGAGCAGAAATACGAACAAGCAGCTAGGAATGAGCAGAAGGGCAGAACTGCTTCTTTTAGCAGCAGTGCCAGCTTATAAAGTGTCTGTGAAACTATTATTTCAGCGGCAGAGAGGCCAACTTTCAACAGGCACTCACACTTTCAAAATTCCACTAAACACAAATTTCTGTTCTTAATTGGCCCTAAACGAGGCAGAGAAAGATGGAACGGGAAGACGTTTTAGGGTTCCACTGCAACCATCTGAAGAGGAGCAAGAGGCAGGTGGAGTAGGAGGAAAGATCCCCTAGGCATCCTCGGCTGCTTATTAGTAAGATCGAGGGTCCTTATATATGGAGTTAAGCCCATAATGTAAACCAGTGGGGTGGTTTAGGTGTATCCCCTAACTGCCAATCTAAAAACTAGCTCTTACAAAAAAAAAAAAAAAATAGGGGGAAGCCCTTCTCCCTCTTTCTTTCCCAATCTGTCCTCATGGCCCTGTCTTCTCCCTTGCACTGATACCCCTCCTTTAGCTGGCTAAACCAATTTACCCTAAAGTCCTAAGAGTATCACTGGCAGCAGAAAGGAACAGAGCGTGTGTTCAGAATTGAGCAAAAACATCCCTTTTTAGCTAAAGAAAATTGGCTTAGAAGCGCCATCAAACCACGTTCAAGACACTAGCCTATGTTTCTGTAACATTCATTTAGCATTTTTAAGAGATACACAATTCACTCTGTTATCATAACAATAGAGTTAATCATTCACATGCAGCTATGACTGTGTAACTGTAGCATTCACCAGCATAAGAGATTAACGATCAACAGGAGATCTGACTGTACTGCCACATTCTTATGCAAGCTTGGACATATTAAGTTTTGTCTTTTACAGTCACACATCCCTTGTTCAACACATAGCTTAACTGGTATTGTCTTTTCAGATAGCTACTACAAACAGAGCAAATATTAATACTTACAGTTCCAGGCCTTGTGAAGTCAATACTTTGTGCTACACTTTGTCTCATCTGATTGCTAAACAAGCGAACACAAACACTTTGAAGATATTCTGGTGTGATCTGAAAATTAGGGAACATACCAAGAGAACAAGATTATATAAGCCTTGCGCTTTATATCAGTCAAGTGTTTGTACGCTAGTTGTTTTTATTTTTATTTTATTTATTTTTAAGGGCTAGAAATCGCAGGCCTCCGACTCACTGATGGAAGTACAAGGTATAAACTACAAATTACAGTTTCGTTCAGAACTTAACAAAACTATAAACTCTTTTCATCTGGGAATAGTTACTCTAAACACCTCCTCTCAGAGAGTCTAGAAGAAAGACCGAATTTGTCAGACAAATGTTTGCATATACACTTTCCTCATTTAAAAGGTAAGTTCTCCAACAGTAAGCACGAAGCGGTTGTACACTTTAGACACAGGCAAGGGTATGCTGAAGTGCTGTCTGTCAAAAGAGCAGAGCTTAGATCACTCAGCTGTACAGAAAATAGAATAGACACGAGTCATACAGTACAGGACTGTGTTTCAATGCAAAACATCTCAGCATTTTTAGTTTTTTTGTTTTGGAAATCAACATCACAGTAGAGTTGCCTAATTCCAGAAGAGTCTCCGGCTTCCCCAAAACAGATATCAGAAGACTGAGATTAGAGAAATGCTCAATCCTCAGCTCCTCTTGCTGAATTCAGAGATTCTCAGATCTGGCCACCCCATGCCCCTGCACTACTAAATGTCTTTTCAGAAGCCAACAAACTTACTCTTCCATCTCCAAGAAACCCATACCGTGATATCTTAAACTTTAGCAGCACCAGAAGAGCTCTTGGGCTCTCCATCAGCATCCCCATAGTATAAAATAAGTATTCAGGGGAGAGCGGAAAGGGAAGTGGGGACACTTCTAATACTCGCTGACCCACAGCGAGAAAACAAAATCCTTCAAAATCAGAACAGTGTAACTTCAGCATGATTTTATTCAGTGCCTAATTCCGCTTTGGATTCAGAAAAGTGACAGAAACCAAGGTTCATAACGAAAGAGCACCATCAGCTGGACACATTTGGGAAGGATCAAATGACTGCCCAGTATAAGGCTTACAGAGGAACTCAGATAAGCACCTACAACAAAAGATCTAATTCCTCTACCACAGAACGTAAGAGGATATTGCTTTGGAGAGTACTGAAGTATGAAATAGGAGGCAGCATATGAATGACTAGGTGTTTCTTATTGTTTTCAAAGCTTATCTGAGCAGATACCTTTCCTAATCTGCTGTAAAGCAGCATCCACACCTACAGCTAAATTCTACCATGCAGTTGTGAGAGGCACAGAGAGCGATCCCAAATCTCGAGTAACAAACCACAAGATCTTCACGTTGCTGACAGAGGAGGAAGGTGTGTACTGACACGTCAGCAGGCAGCACAGGAGCTCCAAGGTCATTCCCTCTGCCAACAATTCATAGCTCCCTTAATAGCATCTAGAGGCCACTAATGTCTGCCATAAAAATCATCCTCAGGTTATGCTAAAGTTATAGGAGAGAGGCAGGCTAGCAGAGGGCACAAAAGAGGGAGTGAAAAATAATCTTTGTATGAAAACTACCCGTAAGAAAGCCAAGCCTCATCCAGTCACATGTATGTATGGCCCTTTTCATACAGTAAACAACTGATTCGCTCCCACCCCAGTTCTTCTTTTTACCAACTAAATTAACAGTAATAAATTCAGCTTAGTAGAACGGAGAGCAAAGCTTTTCCTCACCAAAATTCTGGATGAGCAGAGCACATTGGTTCCACCACAGTGCCCTTTACAACAGATCTGGGAGGAGTTTTAAATATACAACCACCTCTGATGGGCTGGATCACAGTCAGTAATCACAGTAATGCCCTCTAGTCGCTGCTGAAGCCAAAGCTCAGAAGGGGAATATCACAAGACAAGTGATGCTAGTTTCTATAAGATTCCTGAGCCAGCAAAATTAAACCCATGTTCTATAATACCTTTATCTTAGCACACAGAGGCAAGGAAAGACTCACTCAGCCCAAGCACTGTGTTTCATTAGTAAAGAAACACAGTATTTACAAAAATGCTCATAACTAAAAAACTTAATTCACACTTTAGTGGTGTTCTCTCTCCGTTTTCCGGGGTAAAAAAAAGCAAGTACACATCTGAGTTGCCTCTTACCATCTTGCCATTGACTGTGGCCTCCAAGGAATCCACGAGCTCTGCAGTGACCCCAATGAGGTTATGGTAGTCTGCTTGCATTTTGTTAAATCGTTTCAGGTAGGTCATGGTCCTGCGCTCAGACTCCACTAACTGTTGATGAAGCTGTTGTAACATCTCTGTCGAGAGATTAATAAAAAGGAGATAACTTCATCTTCTCAACTGAAAGGCCAAAAAAATCCAGAAACAGTTTTATTGCTCTGACGGGACAATGGGTTCATCTGCTGCTATGGAATTATTTTTATCCAAAGGGCAGACTTTCACCACAAGGATAATTCCAGGCTACCAGCATGATTTCATTTCATCACAGCAGCTACAAGTACTTATCTTGCCCTAATTGTCCACAGAAACTCCCATCGCAATTCCTTCAGTTACAAATTTCAGCCATGCAGCTACTAGACTCTTAACATCACTGAATACACCTGCGGAAAGAACACTGTTTAAAACAGTAGAGTCAGGGGCCTGTTAACATAAGAAGTTCCACACTATCAGAGACTAAACTGGGGTGGGGAGGTGGCATCTGAAGAACATAGGACGAAATGCAGCTCAGACTTGGTTAACTGATCTTGCTACCTGGAGATGAGATCCATGCACCATCTTCAACATTCATTAAAATAACAGCAGGCAAAAATATTTTCACATAGAGCAACTAGAAGGCTAAAGCTGCCACTTCAAACATACAACAACAAAAACATAGTTCCCAGAGGTTCATGCTGGTGCTTGGAAGGTTTCACTGTGAGGCTGGGTGTTTTCTCCAGTTAATTTATAAAAACAGTCCTCTGATACTTAAGTTACACAGTGCTTGCTTTATTTTAAAGGAAATACTAAACCTTGCCCCTGTTAAATAAAATGGTACAATTCATAGAAAAAAATACGTCCGAGTTCTTCATCTGCTATAAAAATATTCACTGAATTCTTCAAAGTTGCAAGGACTCCTCTGCATCATCTGACCACAGATGTCCCCAGTTTTACCACAATTTTTTTCAGGTGATTCCATCCTTTATTGGTCGATGGTGAGCTATATCAGTTACTTTTAGCACGTATTTCAATAGCTGAAAATAATTCCAACTTTTCTTTTATTTTTGTCTAAATTAAGAAAAAAAAAATACCTTCTTGTACATTTTGTTCCTTAAGCTTCAGTTACTTCAGAGATGAAAGAAGCAAACCAAACAATACTTTAAGCATTGAAATCTGTATCTTCCATCCCTGTCGCAGAACTAGAAAATCAGCATGTTATACATGGAAGACAGGAATGCGGTCTGAAGCTGTGTGTCACTGCGGATACCTTCACAGCCAGGCAAAACCACGAATAGAGGCACACTAATGCTATAATTACTGCTGATGTTTATAGATTTTGCTAGAATATTTATGCTTTAAAATAGTCTGATAGGAAGCCAGTTTTGCTCCAGTGTTGTGAAAATGACATTTTACCTATCTGCAAACAGACTGAATATTTACCATAGAATTTTCTGTTAAACAATGTACAGAAACCAACTTGACTATGGAATTTCAGACTAGAGTAGGATTTTTTCCACAAATTTCAGAATTTCATGGGATAGAGTACTGCATTTCAAACTACAGTCATACTACTATGACACAGTTTAGATTTAAATAGATACAGAAGGAAGGAAAGCAAAGCAAGTAAGTAGCAAGAGACAACATTGGAAACCAGAAGAACTAGTTCCTGTTCCTGTCTTTGAACAGACTTTGTTGACTGTGTTTGAGGAGAGTGTTATGCTCTTTCATCATTCACTATTCCTTTCCATAAAGATGTAGACAGTACCTTCCTGTACCACAGAAGTGTTAGGAAACCTGATACAAGTAGACATGCTTTGGGATCTTCATTTGGAGAATCCTACAGCAGTGCAAAGTTTCACTACACAGCTATGCTGTGTGTTTAAAAAACCTCAGCACATACCATTGGTCTGATTGACTACTCAGCTGAGCACCTTGCAGCTATGATAGATAAGCTCTGGAGAATTCAGGTAAAGCTATTTAAAACATAATCGCCCCTAGCTAACCATCGGCTCCCCTGCTCTCTGACCCTGGGCACAAACCTCTGCCCTCCTCCGCAGCAGCTAGCACAGGAATGGCAATCTTCAGCAGAGGGAAGAACAGAGAGTGGAAGAAGTGTGTAAGCACCATGGCTTATCTGGCTGAGCCTTCACAAACCGTCTTCTACAATGGCAATCCAATTATATTACAGACAGTGATATACTAATTATGCACAAATATCTGCCAAATAACTGTACGGAAAGTTATTTTCTGACAAACTGCTTCACAAAGTAATAAACATATGGACATAAATGACACAAAAGTGCCAGAATAACACTATTCAGACAGAACTGCCAATAAAACTTTTGTTATAAATGAAAAGGACAGAAATCAGTAGATAGCTCTCTGAATTCTGATGTTGGAAATTACTTTAAAAATTTACCACATCTTACGGATTTTTTAGGGTTTCTGGAATAGGCTGCTTTTATCTCATTCATATGAAAAGCAATATACGGCAGAACAGCTTATACTCAATTTCAGAAATGTTAGCTAAATGTTCTTTTAGAGAAAAAAGTACATTTATAAACTTTAGCTATAAACTTCAGCTCTACAAACTGACAGTTTTAAAATAAAGCACAGAATGCAGAAGAGGTACGTTCTCTTACTTCTAATCGGTACTCTTTCAAAATTCATGTATAAAAAAAGCCCAGGCAGTTATTTTACCCTCGCCACCTCCTCCCCTCTAAGAATGGTCCCTTTCTGAGAATCATTTATTAATTATTAACTTGGCCCCGGCAGGGTTTGCGACTGACACTTAGTATCAAACTGCAAGTCAAGCCATTCTAATGAGGGAGCCAAAAACTCCGTGGGAAATAACAGCAGAGGCTGTGCCAAGCCACAGGTCCTGTTCAAACCCACCGAAATACACTGGAAAAAAAGAACGCTGAAAAAGCTCCCCGTGGCACATTAGTTCTCTCAGCAAGTTCGCTTAAACTTCAGAATTCTCCAAGCTGTTAACACCGCTTCCAGTTTAATTGAGTTATATCAACTTAAAAAAAAAAAATAAGAAGAGTTAAGGTCGCTTCCAAATATAGCCCAAATGATTTTTCCTTGATAATAATCATTCACATTTGATTTTATCCTGACTCCACAACCACCACCGCAGAACAGCTACCACAGCTTTAATATGACGTAGCGCCACAACACGAATATTTTTCTAAGCCGACAAAGATTCCAAGAACACCCGTTGCACCAAACGGGCCTCTCCTCAGCACTTTACTCCCTTTGTCTGGGGGAACAAAGTGGAATACATTTTATTCAATTATGATACAACACGTTCAATTCAGAAATGTCTAGTGGATACAGCCGGAGCGTGACTTTCACTCAGAGGAAAGTTTGAAGCATCAGAGTCATGAAACATAAAACCACTCATCAGTTGCTTGCTTTTCACAGCCTGGCAGGGGTAT